CCATAAAGTGATGTTTGCCTGAGAGTAGAGGTTGGAGCTCATATTTTAGATTCCACTAGAAGCCCTGACCAGAAACAGGCTCAGAGGGCCATCAACTAAAGACCTTGTGAAGCCACAATTCAGTAATGGACACCAGGAAACAAACTGTTTTATCTGCCCCTCTTAGAGCACAGGATAAGAACACTAAACACTGACTGTGCATGTGTGACAGTGTTGGGAAATGCTGGGCCAGGAGCCTCAGGGACTGTTGCTGTGCTTTAATGAGCTCTCTGGAGCCTTAGAGGGTGGCTGTGACTCAGGCAGAAGTGCCAGCTAGCAGAGAAGAGCCAGATGAGCAGCAGTGTCACTACCTGCTTCTCTCCTGTGTCCCACAGCTGCATCCTATGACAAGCGAATTGCACTCTGGGATATTGGGATTCCAGACTGTGACTACAATTTCAAAGCAAGGTAAAGGTTTAAAAACCAGATGTGGCCAGTCCAAGAGCCTGTAACTATCACAGCACCACTTAACTGCTTGTTCTCTGCTTTTTTTTAGCCAGCTGCTGGTGCTGGAAGCGGCCTCAATCCCCCTCCGGATTGCCCTGGTCCCCACCTGCCCAGAGCAGTACCTGCTGGCAGGCTGTGAAGATGGCTGTTTTGCCTGGAACATAAAACTGGATAAGGGACAAAAAAGCAGGTGAGAACCACAAGCTGGGAATGTGCATTTGCTTTCCAGAACAAAAAGGAGTAGTCCTAGCCAAGGTTTGACTTCTAACTGAGGAGGTCTGAGCAAAAGCAGCACATCCTACCAAACTTAGAACATTCTCCCCTTCCCAAAGTGGCCAGAAAAAAAATAGGAGCATGATGCTCAAGGACTGTTCAGAGCTTATATTAAAGCTGCAGGTGTTGCAGGCTGCTTTGCAGGAAGGCTGGCAGGAGTGTGATCTAATACCCCAAAACTTAAGGGTGTGTCATCTCCAGGCAGTGTAACGGAGTGTAAACTTTTGGATCCATTTCCAGTCTCACAGTGAGGCCTCCCCTGCTCCTGGGACGTGAGGTAACCCAGGAAACTGGGACCCTGTGGGAGCTCAGGACAAAATTATGAGGAAGAAGCAAGTGAAGTCATGCCCTGCTGACAAATATCCTGATGGAGTGCAGCAATCTCTTGAGCAAACAGACTTCTGCTGTATTAGTAAACTCAAGTGACCAAAAGTGTAAACTCAACTGGGAATTCACCTGAGCTTGGCAAGAGATTCACTAACACACAGATTTCCTTCTGGGCTCTGCAACCGGGTGCCCTTTCACTGCTGGCTGTTCAGGACTTGGCTGATTTCACCCTTCCCCCCTGCTCTAGGCCTTTTGAAGCCATATTCCAGTTTCCTAGTGAGGAGAGCTTGACAACATCTCACAGGGTTGACGGTTTGGCTTTTCTCAATGATGATGTTGTTGGTGAGTATAAACACAACAGCACAATCCCAAAAACAGTGGGGCACTTCAGCATGTGCAGGGTGAAGCCAGCATGACAAGCAGAGGGGCTGAAAGGGGTGTGACAGCCTCTTCAGCTTTGGGGGGCTGCACAGGATGGAGTTGTCTCCCAGTCACTTGTCTTTCCCAAAAATGTGCTTAGAGTGCACACCTATGCTTGGACAGGACCAGAAATCAGCTGGACACATCCCTGAGAGCACACATGGCCAAGCAGTGCCAATGTGGAAGGGGGGAAGAGTCTCTTTCTGCTCAAGGGCTGGTGGCAACAGGATATTTTTTAGGGGAACTGTGGGTTTCACATCATGGGCTGGCTCCTTCTGAACAGCTTATGCTTGTTCTGCAGCTCAGGAACATAAGCATAGCACTGAAAATCTCTCTGCAACCTCCAGTTATCCTGAAATAAGGTAAAAACAGGTGCAAACAGTTGCTGCTGGATCAGATCCCATGGCTTGAAATCCATATTCTGGATGGACCACCTCTGTCTCAATGCATTTTGCTTTCCAGCAGTTGTCACAGCTTCTCCCTTCCTTTCTTCCCTAGTTTCCAAGAGCTCCAAACCAGGATGCATATACTTGTGGAGCTGGAGCAAGTCTTTTGATGCCAAGGGAAAAGGATGCCAGAGGACAATGTCTGCAGTTATCCTGGCTGAGCTGGAGTGGTCCACAACAGACATGTCCTACCTGACACTCAGCACCTGCCCAGGTAGGAGCACTCATTTCCTGGGGCCATGGCTCTCCTTTGATCCATGGGAGCAGCCTGGAGCTGGAGGCAGAGGCCTGGGATTTCAGAGGATTTCAGAGCTCTGCTCTCCCCCCTGCAGCTCTGCAGTGCAGCTCCAGCAGCAGCTGGGTGGAAATAACAGCAGTAATAAATAATTACAGCTGCACCTTCTGCCTGATCAGGGGGGACAGTTGAGGCTGTGTTTCTTGCACAGGTTTTCAAAGCACAGAGTTAAGGGCTGGGCCCTGTGGAGCCACTGGCATGCTGAGTGGGCAGGGATGTCACACACTGGGCAGCTGGGTTTGGAGACTGACAAGGCACAAACCAGTCAGCACTTCCCAAAACAAAGTCAGGAGAAATCCCAAAGCATTTAGCACTAGCTTTTCTACAGAGAGAGCTGGTTTATCTTCGAATTAATTCCTTTAGAATAAGGTAAATTCATATTTTTGTGCCAGTAAGGGAATTTTGCTGCAATATGGCACCCTCCATTGGGATCCTGCAGCTGTCCTTTATAGCAGAAAAGACCCCCAGCTCCACACTCATTTCCCAGCTTTTTCTTCTGCTCTCACAGCAAAAGAATACGTGTTCTGTGGGGATGAGAAGGGCAGTGTGTGGATGTACAACCTCTCCACCTACACCACGGGCTGGGGCTCTCCGAAGGGAAAGCGCTCGGAGCGGAGGATCTCCCCCACTCAGGTAGGGCTGAGCTGCTCTCTGTGCCTCCCTTCAGCTGATCCCAGCCTCCTGAGCAGGCCTGTCCCAGAACATGCCTTGTGTTTCCACAGCTGACCCTCACAAGCAATTAAAAGTAATTTCCAGAGTGTGGCCAAGGCCATTCACTAGGGACAGGAATGAGAAGCTGCAAAGCAAATCTGTCACCCCCTGCAGCTCCTCCTAGAACAGCCCTAAAAAAGTGGTGAGGAGCACAAATCACAGGTGTGCAGGCACCACATCCCCCAGGGAGGGGAGGGGAGGGAAGCCAGAGTGAACATTCCCTGGCAGGAAAGGCCTCACTGCTTCCCTATGCTCACTCACCCTTTTCCTGCCCAGTATTCCCTCTGGAGACAATTCTCTTTTGGGCAGTCACTGTCCCCTTACCTGTCCCTCTGAAAGGACAATCACAAACACTCCAAAGGCTCTCAGCCACTGCTCTGGAGCCACATTAGACAGAGTGTTCCATTATTTCTTCCCTGAAAGGGTTATTCAGGTATGAGAAGGGAGTCACCATCCCTGGAGGTGGCACTCTGAGCTCTGCTCTGGGTGACAAGGTGCTGCTCAGTCACAGGCTGGCCTCAATGCTCGGGGAGATCTTTTCCAACCTCAACAATTCTGTAATTCCTCAGGGTTTTTGGAAATGCATTGCCAAGCCACCAGAAATTCCTCTGGGGCTGAGATGCAGCTGATTTCACTTCTGCATGAAACCCTGGCCCTTTAAGAATATCCTACAGCTCCTCAGAAGCAGGAAGAGCCTGTGCCTCAGGGTGCCCAGGTCCCCATGTCCCCCTCAGCCATGTCCCCACCCCTCCCACAGATCCTCTGGGGCTGAGGTGCAGCTGATTTCACTTGTGCACCAAACCCTGCCCCTTTAGGAATATCCCACAGCTCCACCACCTTCAGAAGATGTGGTCTTTTCCAAACTCAACAATTCTGTAATTCCTCAGGTTTTTTGGAAATACATTGCCCAGCCACCAGTAATTCCTCTGGGGCTGAAGTGCAGCCGATTTCACTTGTGCATGNGTCCCGGGATGTCACCGGGGATGTCACCAAGGATTGGTGGCGCGGGGCTGGCTGGGGCACCCGCGCTGCGTGCGGGGAGCGAGCTGGAAAGGGGAAGGGCTTTGGAAAGAGGAAATGAGCCCAGCACTGGGGGAAGGGGGAAGGAACCCGCAGCCACCCCTCGGGCAGCAGAGCCGCGGAGGGATGGAATTAAAAATTAACAGGTGGAGGCAGCAGAGCTGGTGGGCCCCGGGGGGTAGTGAGAATAAGTAAATAAAGATTTAAATTAAAAATGGAAGTAAAAGGGAAAGAAAAAAGAGAATGGTAAATTGAAGGGAAATAGAATTTAAAAAAATAAGAGAAAAATAGAATTAAAAAAGCAAAGAAAATTAAAGTAGAATAAAAAATAAATAAAAAAATACAAATAAAAGAAAAATTGAGTAAAATTTTTTAAAATAATGAAAAATAAAAGAAAAAAGAAAATATAAGAAAAATAAAAGAAAAAATAAAAGAAAAAAACTAAAGAAAAAATAAAATAAAATAAAATAATAAATCTAAAAAAAAAGAAAAATTAAATAAAAATAAAATAAAAAATAAAATATAAAATAAAATATTAAAATAAAACAAGGAATAGTAAGTGAGAAAAATAATAACAAATAAGGGAAAAAAAAGGAAAAAGGGAACAAATGAAGTAAAAAGTAATTTAAAAAATAATGAAATAAAAAGTAAAGTGAAAACACTGAAATAAAAATAGAATAGATTTGAATAAATTAAAGATTAAAAAGTATTTGCGTTATTTATTATCCTAACATTAAAATAATCCAATTAAATAAATAAATAATAAGACAGAAATAAAAATACAATAAATTAATGTAAATAATAATAATAATAAACAATTAAAAACCAATACTGATGGTTTGCATCAGTAAATAAATAAAGCAAAATTAAAAATTAAAAGCCATTGAAAACAATCAGGCAGCTCCTTTCCTTTGCTTTCCTGGGATAAAGACGAGGGGAACATTTGGCAGCCTCAGCTGGGGGAGCTCCCGTAACTCCCTGAGCCAAATCCTGGGGGATCTGGGGGTTCCCCCCGNCAGCTGCAGTCATGGGGTGATTCCCAGAGCCTGTGCCCTGCCCCCCTGGCCACTTCCATGGGGGTCATGGGGATTTCCTAACCTCAGCCCACCTGCTCCTCCACCAACCCCAGCCCATGAGCTGCTGGGATGAGCCCTACAGATTCCACAGTGTGATGGCTGAGCCTCAACCATCACTCCCAAAAAATCCCCACAAAAGGCCCTGCACGTTTTGCAGTCCCAGGAGATGATAAGAAAGCCTCTGGGTCCACTCCCCATTCCAGCCTTACAGGGCTTGGCCAGCTCCAGCTCAAAGAGCAGGTCCAGGAACTCCTTGACCAGCCCCTGGCCCAGGAAGAGTTTCACCAAGTTGATGGCAACCTCCTGGCGGCACTCGGCCGTGGCGGTTTCGTCCAGGAGGGTGACCAGGTGCACTTGGCCATCCTGGAGGGAAGAGGCACCATAACGTGGCAGCCTGAGGCAGGCACAGAGCTGGGAAATGTGGGTGCCCCAGCAGGGCTGGGCATGCACCCCTCACCTGGCGCCCCGACTTCACCTCCTGGCACAGGAGCTGCACCAGGGGCTGGTAGCACTGGGAGGGAAGGACCGTCTCGTCCCGAAGCTTCACCTGCAGCTGCAGCGAGCCCAGGCTGCCCCGGCGCCTGCAGGAGCACCAGGAGGGTGGGTGGGTGAGGGATGGATGATGGATGGATGGATGGATGGATGGATGGATGGATGGATGGATGGATGGATGGATGTATAGGTGAACGGAAGGATGGATGGATGGATGGATGGATGGATGGATGGATGGATGGATGGACGGACGGTGGATGGATGGATGGATGGATGGATGTACGTATAGGTGAACGGAAGGATGGATGGAGGGATGGAGGGATGGACAATGGATGGACGTATAGGTGAACAGAAGGATGGAAGGATGGATGGATGGTTACTTCACCAAGCAGGAGGCAACCTGAGGCCAGGCTACCCCTCCAAAGTGATGATGCTTCCCAGGAAAACCCCCCTCCCTAATACCCTGAGGGCACTGGGATCACCCCCAGCACACCCCAACACCCTGTGCCAAAACTCACCCATCCTCTGTCGGCTTGGACTTGTCTGGCCACAGCCTGAACCACCCCTCCTCCTGCCCGGCCGCCTCCAGCCCCTGCACGCTGAACACCACCTGGGAGGGGAAGGCAGGAGAGGGCTGGGTGTGCAGCTGGGCAGGATCCTGGCAGCACAGGAATGGTTTGGGACTCACCTTGCCCAGGAAGTCGTTCCTGCCGACGAGGTCCCAGTCCCACACCTCCACACAGAGCTTCTCCCCAGCGGGTTCAGCCAGCTCGAACTCGAAGGTCTCGTTCCAGCGAGGGTAACAGGATTTCTTGACCACCTGCAAAGGCAACAGCTTTGTCCCTTTTGCTGGGTGGGTCTGTCCCTCAGGGACACCAGGCTGGGGATGCTGGGGGACAGGGGTGGCTCTGGGTTTCCCCGTGGATGGATTCCCCCTGCAGCCCTGGCATGGCTGCAGCTGCACTCACGGTGCTCTCCTGTGTCTTCCCATTGTAGCGCAGGCGGACAAAGGGGTCAGAGGCACCATTCCTGTCCTTCCTGGCCAAATCCCTGCCAAGAAGAGGGGCAACTTACCAGCAACCTCCCAAAATACCCACAGGCACCCATGACACCCATCCCCTCTCAGGGAATCTCAAGATGTTTGTCCCAAAGACCTGCAGATGAGGTAGAGGCTGCCCCAGCACCCCCAGCAGCTGCTGGGTGATGAGGAGGGTGCTCTGCACCCAAAGGACCAGAGACACCGGGGAAACTGAGTCATGGAGCAGCCCCCTGTCCCAGCTGCACACACAGCCCTGTCACCCCCGTGTCCCCTCTCACCTGGCCTCCAGCACGGAGCAGCGCAGCCGCCGGCTGCCCTGGCTGCCCAGCACCTCCACCCGCAGGTGGATCTCCCCCTGCACCTCCTCATCAGGGTCCACCTCGCTGAGGCTCATCCAGCCGCTGTATCCTGTGGGAAAAGAGGGGATCCCCATGAAGGAGTCATTGGGGAACCCCTCAGGACCAGCTTGTCCAAGGGGTGGGTCCCCCCTGGGACCCCCCCAGCCACCTTTCCCCTACCCTTGGGGTGCTCTGCCAGCATGTCCCGGGTGATGCAGACCTTGCCAATGATGTCATCACGGCTGGAAAACAAAAGTGGGAAGCAGGACATGGCATGGGATTGGGTCCCCAGGTAGGACAGCCCCCACTTTGGGGGGACAGGGGCCACGATTGTGTGTCTGTCCCCATGGAGCACATCAACCACCCTCTGCTGCCAGCTGGACAATATCCTTGGGAGAAAACTTCACCCATCTGTGTCCCAAAGCCAGGGCAGCGTGGCCGGGTGGGGATTCTCTGGTGTCAGCACCAGGCTGAGCACGCAGGGAGCTAAAGCCACCAAAGGAGTCCCCAGCACACCTGAGGGCATCCTCGTCCATGACGTAGATGGAGATGCTGTGGAAGCCCGGCTGGAGCTGCACCTCGTATTCCTCCCCCCAGAACGGGGACAGCGTCTTCCACACCGTGGCAGTCCTGTGGGGCAGGTGGCACTGGTGACACGGGGGACAGGGCTCCCTCCCAGGGGTGCTCCCCAGCTGGGGGCAGCGCCCAGAGTTTGGAACCCTCAGCTGGGGCAGGGATGAGTCTCTGTCCCTGTCCTTGTTCTGTCACACAGGGGTGGGGTAGAGGGGCCATGAGCTGTTGACACTGCTGTGTCTGCAGGAGCACCTCAGCCCAAAGCAGGCAATAATAATGAATGATAAATAACAATAAATAAATATATTAACAATAATAACAATAATGTGCCTGCAGCAGATGGAGACACCTGCCAGGAGCAAGGTTTGGGGCTCAGCAGTTTTAGGGAGAGCCAGGGAGCAGGGCCACCCACCTGATGATGGCCTCATCGTCGATCTTCACGATGCAGTAGGGGTCACTGCTCCCTGTGCTGGAAGGACAAGGGACAGCCCTGTCAGTGCCACAGCCACAGCCTGGCCACCACCCAGCCCACAGGACTCTCCTGGCCATGGGTGACCAAAGCCTTAATCCCTGACAGCCCCCACAGAACCGAGCCCAAGCCCTGAGGGTGAGGCTGAGGCTGCCAGAGGCTTCCAAGGGGACACTTGGCCATAGCTGCCAGCACAGGGTGACCCTGGCCTGGCCTCCGGACCGGGGACACTCCTCCCTGACCGTGTCCGGCCGCTGTGTCCCGCTGCTGCCAGAAGTGGCTTTTCCTCTTCCATGCAGGAAGGCAAGGAGCAAACAAACCCCACCCTGTCCCCAAGACAGCTTCAGGCTGCACCTGCAGCCCAATTTCACACACCAGGAGTGAGGCCACAGCAGCCTCCTCCAGCCCCAGGGTGTCCCCAGACCCCCAGCACTCCCACAGGGATGGGGGCAGCCCCAGAGACACCCCCAGGGATGCAGAGGGTGTGAAGCCACCACCATGCTTTGACCACGCTTCCTCCCTAGCGGCAACACGAATCACCATTGCCAAAAAATAATCACAGTTTTACAGCTTATTGCCCTGCTCCATCAGAAACAGAGTCAGGGGTGAGGGCTCCAGCCAGGGACAGAGGAGCCAGGACCTGGCCAAGGTCATGGAAAGGTTGTGGCTCCCATCCCAGTGACACAGAGCAGCTTGGAGCATGGAGAACTCATCAACACCAACCCCAGAGATGTTGTCAGGCTGTGTCCTGGGGAAAGGGAGGGGGCACAGCTGGGGGGACCCCAGGCTCTGAGGGATTTCCACATCCCAGATCTAGAGAGGCTGAGAGGCAGCTGCTGGGGGGATTGAAAAGGTTTTGGGGACAACTGAAAGAATTTGGGGGAATCCAAAGGGGTTTTGGAGGGACTGAAGGAGTTGGAAGGGATTAAAAGAGTTTTGAGGGATTCAAAAAGGGTTGGAGGGGACAGAAATGGTACTGAGGAGGATTGAAAGGGTTCTTGGGGGGAATCAGAAGGTGGTTTGGGGGAATCAAAAGAGGTGGGAGGNATTTGTGGACCAAACCTCGCTCCTTTAGGAACATCCCAGAGCTCCTCAGGAGCAGGAGGAGCCTGTGCCCCAGGTCCCCATGTCCCCTCCCTGTGCTCTCCCACAGATCCTGACGTGGCCGGAGCTGCGCGTGAACGGGGAGCAGCCCCCTGAGATCCTGGTGAACAACGTGGTGGCAGACCCTGCCTTCACCTACCTTGTTGTGCTGACCAGTGTGAACATTACAGCCATCTGGAAGAAATCCTAGTCCCCTGTGCCACTGCTCCACCCCCGTGCTTTGACCTAGTGCAGTATTAGTGACTGTTCCCCATGTGCCCATCAACGTTTTCTAGAGCAGCTTTATGTGCCAGATGGAGAAAAAAAAAAAAACAACAAAAAAACAAACAAGGTAAGAGTTTGTTAAACCCATCAGATCATTGTAAACATCCGGTTCCTTTTACTGTAAGTTTTCACAATTTGTGCATTTGTTTTATAGAAATGACACTTAATAAAACAAAATACCAGTTCAGCTGGCAGTGCCTGGATTTTTTGGCAGGAAAAGCAGAGAGTTCATGTCCAGCTGTCACTGAGCAGCTTCTCATGCTGGAATCCTACCCACAGCAACCTCCCCAGCAGCCCAGGACAAATATTTGCCTTAAGGCTCCAATTAGAAAACTAAAAATCACTTTAATGACTTATCCACCAAATCCAACATGACATTTATCCTCTTGGCAAAGTGCCTGTTGGCTATGAAAAAAAAAATTAAAAATATTGCTGTCAAAAATAAAACAGAAGTGGGACAAAGGGGTAAAATATTTGCCATGAGTGGAGGTTTAAATATTTCATCCAGTAACAGACACGTCATTCTGCCTCAGAAGTAACAGTCTGCTCCATTTTACTCAATTCCTTCTTGTTTGTCCTTAATTGCGACCTGGAAAGCAAAAGGAAAAATACACATGCTTAGACAGGAGTTGTTACTGAGCTGGAAGTTGGTGTTTAATCATTCCTGACTCTTCTGTGAATCACAAAATGTGAATGGATGGAATTCTGTGAATTCCATCTTCTGTGAATCACAACAACCCACAATGGAAATCTCTACAGCAGCCAGAAAAAGAATACTGGAATTAAAATCAACACTTATTTACAAATTGGTGCCTTTTCCCAGCACATCAGTGGTACTCAGTCTGAGTAATATTATATCTTAGGATTCAGGGGCTGAATCAATAAATAAACTGAGCAGAAGTGATGAGAAGTGAAAATACAGGGCCAGAGTTTTGTCAGGAGAAGTAAAAAAAAAATTAAAGAAAAAAAAAGTCCTTAAGAGCAGCAAGGCTTTGACAGCAGCTGAACAACACAAGGAGGGTGGCTTAAATTAATTCATAAACCTAAACCCAGCGGCTTTGAGACACACACCAACATTACAACAAGGCCAAAGAATTTTCCAAAAGGAAAAGAATCCCCTTACCCTGAACCTCTCCTCCAGGAGGGAGAGCTCACTGATCAGGTCTGTGATGGCATTGGTGAAAGCCTCCTGGGGGCTGTAATCTGGCGTGGTTTGGACACGGATGATGATTTTATGTTCCAGAGGGTGTGGGACCTTGTACCCTGCAAACAGCACCTGCGGGTCTTTGAGCAGCTGCCTGGAAGGGGAATAAAAACCCCAAAGAGTGAAAGGAAGGGCGGGAAAACCCCAAACCTCCCCCGAAATCTCCTCCCCGCCTGAACTTACGACTTGATGATGTTGCCGAGCGTGTGGTCCTCCTTGTTGATGGTGAACAGGCAGGCGTTGGGCACCTTGGTGTCCTTGTTGATGGTGATCCTGGGGATTATGGGATACAGGGATGTCAGCGAGCCGTGCGCGCTATAGAACAGCGGGGAAAGGCCCGGGCTCCCCCCTCCCAGCTCTGATTAGGGTTTAATTCGTCGCCCCCCGGGTTTAATGAGCCGCCCCCCGCGTATCCCCTCACTTTTTCTCGCCCTCGAAGAGCAGGAAAGACTCGAAGGCCGGAGGCGCGTTCATCCCGCCGTTGCTATGGCGGCCGCTTCGCTTCCGCTACGTCACTTCCGTCATCTCCGTGCTCCTGGCGGCCCCACAGCGCCCCCAGGCGGGCCGGAGGACCCGCTGAGGGCAATGGCGACAGCGGGAGCGGGGATAGCAGGGCTGGGGACAGCGGGGCTGGGGACAGCGACAAAGACACAGGCGGCTCAGAGCCACCACTGGGGGCAGCGGCGGGGCCGGGAGGAGAGCGCACACCAGCGACACCATCAGAAGTGTCCCCTCTGGAGACACCACCCCGCAGACCAGCTGACACCATGGGCAGAGACCCAAGGATGCCACCATTGCCAACAGGCCACCAGCAGAGCCACCAGTGATGGGACCAAAAGAGCCAGCAGCAGCAGGGCCATTAGAAATGGCACAGCAGGGACATCAAGCAATGGCAGCAGTGCCGCCATCAGCAGCACCACTAAGAGAACCCCCAGTGCTGCCATCAGTGATGCCATCAGTGATGCCACCAGCAATGGCACCAGCAATGGCACCAGCAGGCCCCTGATCGATGTCCCCAATGTAACGTCACCAGTGCCACCAGCAGGGCTCTGGGCAGTGCCTGGCCCGTCCCCACGCCCCGCAGACACACGGAGAGGCTGAGGGTGGGTACAAAGTGCCTTTATTG